AGAAGGCCCAGTTGACAAATCTGTGCAGTGTCAATCGCTCTGTTCCGGCTTCCGATCCACGCAGTGCGACCCCCCCCCCCCCCCACGACGAGGCATCGTCGCAGGATTCCAGACTAGTGACCAGAACTAGCTGACGGCAGTGCTTGGAGCTGCTGCGTTCAGATCCCAAGACTGCCGTTGTGCAGAGGAGTTGCCTGCGTGCTGGCCTTTGCTGATGCTCACAGCGGGGGAGGCAACAGCGCTTAGAGCCAAGAGAGCTTTGTGGATTGAAATCCAGAGACTTGTTGAAAGAGGAGTCGAGACCTGGGAATGTGATGCATTTTCTTGTGTCTCAGATAGCCTTGTTTTTTTGGTTTCTCTCTCTCTCTCTCTACCTCCATCTCTCCGTTTCTGTCGTATATGCCATATCTCGCAGGTAGGAGGCCGATTGTCGTCTTTGTGCCGCGCCCAGTGAATGACAAGCAAAGTGTGGGTGCGATTCTGTAAACAGGGGTTCTGCATGCAGTGCATGCAGAAATTTGACTTACGCAGCGGGTGATGTCTTGCGATGTTGAAGCCTGCCCTATATTGCACACGCTTCGTCTCGACATCTCTCCAGTGAAGCGCATGCCGAACTCCCTGCTAAGCATGCAGATAAGCATGCCCACCCCGAAATGCACACATTCGCACACGAAAGTTTGGAAAAGCATTGCAGCACATCTCTACAGGAGGCAGCTGTGCCATGTTAGTTCGCAAGGGCGCGGACCGTCCGACTCAAACAGCGCTGCACGTCCCCGTCCCCGTGCAGCCATGCTGCGCTTGTCCACTGCTCGCCGCCTGCAGAAGGCGGGTCTGAAAACCTTCGAAGCCGCTGCACAATGTTATTTGCACGCTGCGCAGTAGTGCTCTCCGTTTACCCTTTCTTCAGTTTGGAAATTCCCTGCCAGGTCCCCGCGATGGGACAGTCAGGCTTTCGGAAGGTTCTGGTTGGAGGCACCATGGCCCTTGCTGCTGGAATGTATGGCACTCGAACCCCGGTCAGCGCCCGTTGCTTCAGCAATACGCAGGAGGTCCTTGCTCGCTTGTCTGGTATGGATACCTGTGCACTGTGCGATGCGAGCGGGAAGAAGGCGAGGGTCGTCAGAGGCATCAGGCCCTTAAAAACCGGATATCACATGGTGGGGCGAGCACGAACGGTTGCTATCGATGGGGACTTCTTGGAAGTTCTCGCCGCTGTGCACGATGCATCTGCTGGGGAAGTCATCATGATCGATACGTGCGGGGGTGGTGAAGCGGATGCTTCGTGGCCGAGAGCGGGAGGAATGTTTGGCGAGCTTATCGCAAACGAGGCCGCCCGAAAAGGCGTCAGTGGCATGGTCATCGACGGCAACTGTCGTGATACGCCCTTGTTGCTGCAGATGGCCCTGCCTGTGTATTGTCGTGGGCATCATCCCAACGCCGGGACTGCCAACAAGAGGGGCCATACCCAAGTCGAAATACAGATAGGTGGAGTAGCTGTAAAGCCTGGAGACTATGTCCTTGGCGATGATGATGGGATTGTCGTGTGCTCTGAGAGTGAGCTTGAGGCATGGCTTTCCAAAGCCGAGGCCATCCAAGCAATCGAAGGCAAAATGCTTTCTCACATTGAAGCCGGGAGAAGCCTCTTCGACAAGCTTCCAAACTTCCAAGAACACCTTGAGGCAGTCCGCAACGGCACGAAGTCATCACTCAAGTTCGCCGAATGAGTTCGGCTGGACCGGCGCAAGGGCTTGCGCTTGCCAAAACGGATCGTTCGCAGCCAACCATCCCCGTGTGTCAACCTTCCGTTTCTGCACCCATGCTGCGCGGGTTCGACATCGTTTTTGACCTTTGCTCTCTTGACTATCTTGACGGTAGTGCCTCTTTGTATCCAACTCGAGGCCATATGTGTCTCTGTGTGTGTGTGTGTTTCATAGTCTCTTGGCGCTGCGCTTTTGGTAGAACAGTTGCCGGCGGTTGGAAATTGAGATGTTTTTGTTAATTATAATGGTGTTGTTGCAATGCTGTGTGTCGCGAGCATCCTTTGGAGCTCGTGCAGATTGAGACAGTGCCGGGACATACAGGATGTAACAAACACAGCAAGATGAGGCCTGGGCGATGTCAGAAGCTATATGCCAATATCATCTGAGCACCTCCCGGTAACAGCGCTACCTTCAATTACCTTAAGCACGTTGGGGACCCAGGTTCCTGGGTCGTGGCAGGTCTGCGAAGCCTCACATACGGTAGAGAATGAAGCTTTGCAAGAGCTGTGCGGGAGTTCAACCTAGCGATACAGGCAACATGCTGGACGTCTTATCAACTACGTTGGAGCTTCATGGATGCCAGTGCGCGTCATGGGCTTATATACAAATGTTCGAAAGCATGTCTCACCAAGAAAGGTATAGGATATGTGCATGCCAGGTTGCGCTCCATACCCCCAGAATGGATGTTGGAAAACGAACGACTGGTACTTGCCTTTCAGCTTTATCAGCACTGTAGCCGACATACCGGGCGCTGTAGTCCTCCTTTGCCGCTTGCTTCACGCTGGGCGGCTTGTGGTGGGCCAACATGGCAGAGTCGAAGCAGTCTACTTTCCAAGCTGTGCCGTCGGGGCGAATTGTGGTGGTGGGCACACTCCTTCTTGGGGTGCGGGCCCCAGCACCTACTAACTGCGAACATGAAACTATTTGTAGATTCCTGCATGCTGCTCGGACGATCATCTGGAAGTGGCGGCAGCCACTCGGCAACGGCCGGGGGTGCAGCATTCAATAGTGGACAATCTTGTGACCATGCAAGCTCCACTTCCTGATTGTAGTTTATGCCCAGGTTACGTCACTCCTGGAGATCTCCCGGCGTGCCGCGCGCCGCACACGCCGTGATGCAGTACAGGGAATCGAAGTGCCCATGGCAGGCACAGGGGTGAGGATGGATCAGAGGCTACGGTATGGCTGTAGGATGCTCTGCGGCGGGGCGTGTCAGTTGCATGGCTAGCTGCGGAGAAGGTGCTCAGAAACGGTTGGTGTGTGGGTGGCATTTCTTCAGCTTCTGCCGAGGATTGTCATACATGGACATGTCGCGAAACAAATGCGTGCTTAAAAGTTGTATGCGGAGATGTCGGCTCTGCCTCAACAAATGCGCTCGGAGCCACTCCCTGCATGATTGCATGCGTTAACTTCTCTGTCAAAGTGCCAGGTGGGTGGCAGCCCTTGCTAGGGTGGCTGGGCAGCAAATGGCCACATGGCCGTCGCATGGGCAATACCCAGAGATGAGCAGCTATGACTAGGCTGCCATCTCGAGGCAGATATAGCTTCTTGGAGCTTCCAGCGTTACACCGCTGTGCCGGCAAGGCACTTGTTCCGCCTGCGGCGCTACGTGGCTGGAAATGCCAGCTTCGCTCCAGGGCGCTGGGCACTGGATGTCTTGAACCAGGAGGGGCTCAGAGTTTCTTGGCTCGAGCCTTCCACTTCAGGGTGTGGCAAAACACGAACGACCCGTTGCTGAATTCCACGCTCTACCGCCGGGTGGTGTTGAATTGAGGTTACGTCAATGCCTGCGGCTTTAAAGTAATGTGCTCCTCGCAGCATAGCCATGTTCCAGCATATTATACGTCCGTCAGCCTGAGGGCCTGGGGGTTGTCCTGTGAGGTCTTTTGTGGAGATTTCCTCGGCATGAAGATGATCAGTGTGGCCGATACTGCTCTTGCGGAGGAGGTCAGCACAGGAGAGCCTGATCGATTCACAAAGGATTTCCTGAAGTTTTCACCAGGTGGTGATTTGCTCCTGGAATCCTTTGGTCGCGGTCTCGTTTTTGCCAGCACGGAGGATCCCGAGTGGCAAGTGGCTCATCGAATCCTTCGAGCACCATTTTCCTCCAGGGGGGTCAAAGCAATGGGTCCACTGATGTGCCAACAGGCCGATGAGCTTGTGAGGGCCTTACGTCGTGATGTTGGGCACGGAGGTGTGGCGTATATTGACACTTGGGTTACCAAAATGGCTTTGGAGACTATTGCAGTCTGCGGCTTGGGTACCTCCCTGGGTTGTTTTGAGTCTTCAGAGACGCCTCCATTTGTGACGTCTCTCAACAAGCTCATCAGTTGCTTGATGAACTTGAGCCGATGTCCACGGTGGCTGCGCCCATTTTTGATGCCTTTCCGTGTGCGAGAGTTCCGCAGAGAGAGCCAGAGGCTCCGGCAGCACTGCCTCGATTTGATTGAGAAGCGTGCCGGCAGTTCTGCCGTTGGTGCGCGGAAGGATCTTCTGGACGTGATGCTGCTGGATAGCGACACGAAGAGCGGACGCAAGATGACGCTTGACATGGTCACAGACAATGTGTTGACTTTTCTCTTTGCGGGCCAAGACTCGACTGCAGCTGCCATGGCTTCGTGCTTGTGCTATCTTTGCGCACACCCGGCGTGCAAGGCCAAGCTCGTGGAGGAAATAGATGAGGTTGTGGGAAAGGGTGCGCTGGAGTGGGACCATTTTGCTCGGATGCCATACCTAGACTCATGCATCAAGGAAACCTTGCGGTTGGTTCCGCCAGCCCCGGGATTCATACGTTATCCAAAGGGAGACCAGCTATTGGGGAAGAAGTGGCGCATTCCAGGCGGCGTGCCTGTCCTTGTGCACCTGTGGCTGCACACAGCATCTTGAACTTTGGATATCACATGGCATGGATAGAAGACATTTGACAACCAGAGATATATCATTGCAAACTTCCCCGTTATTGTAAGCGTCAGAGATGACAGAGTCTGCATAACAGGCCTCTGGACAGAACGAACCGACGAAAACAAGGGAGCAGTTTCAGATTAACTTCGCACGTTTGTTTTTTTAATACTCTCTGTGGTTGCTTGGCGACAGCCTGTCGAGGAACATAATGGCCATCCACTATGACCCCAAAATCTGGGGTGAGGACGCTGCCATGTTCCGGCCAGAGCGTTGGCAGCAGGCTCCTCGAGAGAAGTTTGCTTTTATCCCCTTCGCACTAGGCCCACGAGCCTGCACTGGAAGGGAGCCGCTTCAGCAGCAAGGAGCAGATTGTTCAGCCATTTTATAGAGTCGTTTTTGAAAAAGACAGGCAGCATGCCACGGTATTTTGAGTGGTGTACCTTCTGAAAAGCTTTCAGACAACGGTAGTGTCATACATCTCTCAAGATCTCTCAAGCAGCAGTGTCACCGGGTGAAGGTTTAGCGTGCTGGAGCAGAAGGTGACTCTCGTGAAGCTGTTGCAGCAGTTCGACTTTGAACGACCTGCCCAAGTCCAGCAAAAGCCCGGCTGCACCACCGAGTCTCAGCTGGCACAGCAGCAAGCTTTGTGTAATGCAGACGTTTCTGACACAATCACTGTATTCCACAAGCTCGGGCCAAGCACACCTATCCAAGATCACGAGTGATCAGATGAAGCACCCGCCTTTCATCAGCATGGATGTGGAGATGAAGCAGGAGCGTTCATGGGCTTGAACCATTCGAAGAGGGAAGCTGCCAGTATCTACTGGTAGTAGCTTCGATCAGCTTGCGGAGGTGTTTGTTCATGAGGTTTTGGTGGGTGGTTCCGAAGCAACAACGGCAAGCACCACACCTTCGAGCATTGACAGCTGCGGCCCCTTGGTTCCTGTAGTACCTTCTCTGTGACCTACAAAGTCTAGAGTACCAACAAAGAACTGCATGAGGAAGACGAGAGACTGGGAAAGAGTGCGGTGCAAGAAGCCGCAGAACGCAACAGCATCGGAAGCGCCCGAAAAGTCTAGAACAATATGAACATGCGCACCACGCACCGGATTGTATGAGGATTATGGATAGCGACAGCCTCACTTGAAGAGGTTCCACGCCTGGCTGACACCTCCGAATGTCACACCAATAAGGGGTTTTGCTGGAGCTTCTGCTTACAAGCTTTCTTTCGGCGGCACTTTCGCATCGCGAGGACACCGCATTTCAAGGCCTGTTCTCTTGCCTGGTTTTGTTCGAAAGACAACAATGAGGCCAGCGGCTTATCATGATACCATATCATACCCATTGAGATTGTAGGAGTTTGCGGCGGGTGCAGACCTGCGGTGCATTGACCTCTTTTGAGAGCAAGCCGTGCCCAGGCTGCCAGAATCTGCCAGATGGTTGCATAAGCAGATGTTTGCGCTGCTGTTCCCAAGACAAGCTGAGAACCGCGCATGGTGACAATGCTGCTTCGGAAGCTACAAGCTCCATGCCAGTGTTGCTCTTGTACTCTTGGTCCGTGCAGCCAGTGAGTTGACATGCAAGGAGCAACGGAGCAACCTCTAAATGCAAATCAGTGCAAAAGCTTGCATTTCCGTCAAGCTCCGGGCATATCACTCTTCTTAGGTACAGAAATCAATTTTGTCGTTTTGGGAGTGGTCTGCGCAGAAGCTCGCAGTGCTGCCAATCCAATTTACTACCGGTCATCATCATCACGGGTGACTGTGTGCGATCGACCACCGTGGTGGGTTCACTGACCCGTTGCTGCTTGCTCTTCGTGCAGGGCCAGTTTTGGCACAGCAGACGGCATCGCGTCACACGCCAGACAACAGTCAGAGCGGCTAGCCCTGGCAATCGTAGAGGCCATCTAGGCTTCAGCAAAGACGAGCCACTCTCTTGGCACCGTGCTGGAAATACTTCTCGGTTGCACCATCAGGGAGGCCTCGCTTCCAGAATCCCTTTGCAACAGACCGAGGTTGGGTTGCGTGGCAGCGTGGCGCTCTCAGTCCAGCCATGGAGTCAGTTGCAAGAAGCAAGAACTAAAACTTATAGCTCAAACGTAGGTTCGTCCTAGCCAGGCGGGAGCTCGAAAAAAACTCAAACGGTGTCACCGACAGCATGCTCCATGCGGACTTTCTGCAGAAAGAACCGGTACTCGGCATTGGGCCCAAGTAGGATCGCAAGAGTGCAGTGGCTGAGCGCGCATGTGACATTCCCGAGCCTCGAGGCCAGTGTTCGTGCTGCTGGCAGTGGGCATGATCTATCCCCCTCATCTTTCCCCAGAAGGCGGCTTCGGCATGCTCAGATCACGGCTGTCATGTTAGCTGCGACGGGCTCCAAAGCAAGTGAACCATGGGCGGCGGACAAGGAGAGAGACCCCACGTGCAGGCGAGTTTCGTCACTGAAGGTCCCGCGGAAAGAAACCTGAAGGGAAGCGTGGCGCTAACTGCAGGTCGAAACGGCTGAACGGATACCACGGGCAAGCACAGGAAGAGCGAGCAAAGAAGCGCGGGATGGAGGGAGCCTAGTGGAGCGAGTGTGAGCCAGGAGAACAGAAAATGGGGCAGATCCGGTGAGTTACAGATTCTGCTGCCGACGACATCAGACACCAGAAGCGCTAACAGGACGACAAAGTTTGAGATGACGACAAACAACAGCAGGCGGCAGCTATCAGCAAGCATGAGCAACACGAAACGACCCCGGCAATCTATGCAATATTGGAACGGACCATATGCAGCCCCATGACTCAGTGTGCGAGCGAACGAGAGAACGTCACGACTAGAACGGCGAGCTCCATCAGGCCATGCAAGTGCAGAGATCGGCACCGACGAGAGCGAGTCTGGAGAGGAGCTGACCTGTTGGAGGCGGGCTTGTTGAATTGATGACATCCAACATACTATATCAAGTAGTGATCGCACATGGTGCTATAGGACCTGGCGGCTGGTTGCCGAAGTGACTAATTAATTTTCAGGTGACGGTTGCACGATCAATGTCCGTTTGGCTTTGTCGTTGAAGCGAGGGCCGTGTGATAGAGAAGAGGTCCTTTTTGCCACGCCGAGCGATGGCGACAAAGCGCCACGAGGGGACACGCACCAAAGTTGGCGCTGTGGCGCTGACAGGGCTGTCAGCCGCCTGTGGCGCCACATGGCTGGCTTCTGCGTTCGTCGCGCCTGCGGTTCCCCTCCGCCTGCAGCTGCGCAGCGCGCTGGTGGATGATCCACTGCAGCAGACCAGCGCACTTCCAGGAAGCGCGGGCGCAGTCAGCCCGGCCGGCAGCTGTCTTGCCATGGGAGCCGTTGGAGTGGCGGCTGCGGTTGCGGCTGCTGCCCTGCGCAAGGGCCGCTCCAGTCGGGCTGTTCGCCAAGCGGAGCCAGAGCCTGGGCCCCAACCCGGACGAGAGCCGGAAATCGATCCGAGAAGGCAAGACCCACCCAACACCGTCCCGCCGGTTCGTATGCCGATGGTGGACACGGGCAAGGGTGAGAAGCTGGATGTGATGTCCAAGCTACTTGAAGACCGCATCATCATTCTGGGTGGCGAGGTGAAGGATGAGATGGCTCAGATTTTGGTCGCTCAGATGCTCTACCTGGCCAACACGGATCCGGACCAAGACATCACTATGTACATCAACTCTCCAGGAGGATCCGTCTCTGCAGGAATGGCCGCTCTGCTGCAAGTTTTTGAAGACGGCTATTGCGTTCGGGCCAAACTGTGTCTTGCACCGAAGGCCATCTATGACACCATGCAGTTCATTCCGTGTGATGCCGCTTGGCAGCAGTTCGTTTGCTGCCAGCTGCATAGTCTAAGAGCGAGGACAGCGAGGATGCACCTTTCTTGGAGCAGCCAGGTGAGCACCGTGTGCTTCGGCATGGCTGCCTCCATGGGCTCCTTCCTGCTGTCTGCTGGAACCAAGGGCAAGCGCCTCCTGGACATGTCATAGGGCTTGCAACGACGATCGGAACCGCACTGTACTGCAAGCACCGTGTATGCTGGGCTAAGGAAAGAGCCTGCCAAACTCTCGCGACTTGTCTGCTGAAAAATTCATGAGGCAGGAGTTCCGGATGCGCACCACAACTCCGTGGCGCTGTGCAATGCCAAAGCAAATCGCACAGCACTGCCGAGATCTGCCGAGGCATTATGATCCATCAGCCCTTGGGCGGAGCACAGGGCCAGGCCGCCGACGTCCGGATCCAGGCCTCCAGATGTGCCATGAGCATGCTGAGGAGGCAGAGAGAGAGAGGTCAAGCCCCTTCACCATAGCCGCCATAGCCCTGGCGAAAGAAGAGAGGTCCTTCGGGGTGAGTTCCAGCAACTGTTGTGACCTCACTGCAAAGCCCCGAAACAAAGTATGCCCTGGAGAAGCGACGTGCGAGCGACGGCAAAATATCATTTACACTTTCCATCCGAGCCGTATCAATCAGTCAACTTGAGCCTGGGTTCGAAAAAAGGGTGTGCCCCAAACAGGGGGTCGCCCCTGAGCCCTTCGAAAGAAACAGCGACGACTTGAGTGGGCACTCTCGCGCGGAAGCAGCAGGTTCTTCATGCTGGATTCTCGGCTAATCTGTTTCTGCCACTCTACAACACCGAAAGATTGATAAGCCAGTCAGGCCATCTGTCTCTCTAATGTCTATCGTATGTCTGTGTGTGCAGAGTGATGTGGTGGAAGCGCTCTGAAGGGGCCGTCTGTTTCTGACAGTGAGAGTCTGCAGAGCCTGGTGGACAAGCCGCGCAGTTCATTCTCCGTACAAGAAGAAAATGTATGTCGCTGGTTCGGACCTGCAAGATCTGATGCAGGCTCGCGAGATTCTTCACATGCGTGCAGTGCTCAGCGTTCAGAGTGCACTTGACTTGTTGCCAATGCCCGAGTCTGCCAGATACGCACAGCGGCGACATTCCACTCTCATAAATGAAGCATCATAAAGCGTGACAGCTGCATGCGATGCATTCCGGCTGTGTCGTGTCGGTAGGCAGAATCCTGGCATGAGCGCAAGATACTAAGATCTTGAGCATAATTTCACCGATCCTGCAATTCACGGGTAAGCCGAAGGTGAAATTCTCAACATGCACCTGGCAGATGCCACCGGGCAGCCGATTGATGTTATCGCCAAGGAGCCGGTACAGCACGACATGTTTTGGAGTGGAGGATGCAACATCTGGAGAAACATTGATTTTCGGCCAGCTGAACGAAGAGATCTTCCTTGTGTGCCTCGATTCTCAAATTCAATCGACCGTCAAAGTCGCAAGTTGACAGGGGAGATGCTTCGCCGGAAGGCCAAGCGAACCGTCACTCTGATGTTAAAGATAAAAATCACTGCTACTTCGCAGGACTGCGACAGGGACAATTTCATGACTCCGGAGGAGGCCAAGGCTTCCGCCCAGCTGTCACGGCATGCGTTCAGGTTTCCGCATACTTCAGGTGCAGGCTTGGTAAAAGAGTTTCACTGGCAACAGTCCCCCTCCTGGGCTTTACCGTTGCGGCTGCCACGGCTGGTATGACAAAAAGCGAAGGTTAAGACAATACAAGCTAACAGTATACTAGGTGTTATTCCGGCATTTGAAAGAGTTGTTGTCATAGTGACACCGGATCACCGGTTACTGTATTGCTAGGCAGAATAGCAAGTGGAATCAGAATGAGCGCAAGGCCAGGCCACAAGCTTCTTGCAAACCGTTCTATTTTTCCCGCGAGTCCCCCACAGGACTATGGGCTCATCGATGAAATCACGCCAACCAAGGCAGCTCGGTTGTGATTCGACGACCAACAGCAGACAGAATGCATTGCATCAGTTCTTGACGTTTTACCTTTGAATTCCTGAAGCAGCATCCTTGGCAAGAACGCTGTGTGTGCATCCTCTCCTCTCTAGACAGCTCTACCAGGCGTGGCCTCGCATCCAGAAGCCCAAGCGACCGGAATTATAGGTGGCCTGCTCGGATGGACTGGGAGGGAACATTCCCCGTGGGCTTCCCGTAGCCAGTGGGCTTCCATGAATTCCGCAGCCAGACGGGTAGCAAGAGCGAGTTGGAACATATCAGAACCTCAAGTCCTGGCCAGGCCACCGGTGTCACCAGCTGGTGGATGCAATGAGTTTCTGTGAGCTTCCTATTCCTTATATGTTTAGTGGATATACGAATCGACAGAGTTACCGCACTTGAGGCTTGCGAAGCCTGATCAGTCTAGTCTTAGAGCAGCGGGCCCTTCAGAGTTCAGCAAAAGGAGTCGTCCACGACCTGCGATGATAGCTTATGTATAGACGAGTGCGGTAACTCGAAAAATATGATTCGCTCATGTGAAGCGAGGCTGGCTCGTGGAGCCAGGGTATGCCAGAGGATTGCACGCTTTGATCCGTGCAGGTCGTTTTGATCACCAGGATCGGTTCAGGCAGAGCAGACTGTTCACAGAGTAGACCAACGAAGACGGAACCGGATCCGGAGACTCCCCTGGCTTGGAAGTGACCACTTTAAAGGGGCATGCAGATTCAGACCAGCAAAGCACGCAGAAGCAAGGCATGGGCAGCTTAATTTTAGGTTTCGTTTGGGATCCATAGCAACGACGAAGGGTGCGCGGATTTTCCTTTGGGCCACTGATTGGCTCAGACAAAGCCATCACAAAGCGACTCGCCGCAAAGGAACTCTAGAAAAGTGTGGAAGATGCTTGCCACAGGCTCAGAGACGACATCCGAGCCGACCGAGGCTGCATTCTATGCATTTCGTCAGTCTGCAGGCGAATCGCGAGAGACCAGGGCGGGGGCTATGTGCCTGTGCCCGGGGCTCGGAAGGTGTGCATGTAGAGTCTTGGGAAGGGCCGTCAGAGCAGACTAAAAGCTGGCAAGAGCCCTGCGTAGCAAAAGGACACTGGACGCCACGAGCATATACAAAAACACAAAGCTAACAAAAGCAGGACCAACCTTGCAAAATGCCCCCATCCAGGTTTGAACCCCAACACACGGTGCCACAGCCCTGAGCTCTGAACCTCAAATTTCATAAGCTGCACGTGGAAGGCTAAGCCCTGAGCCCCTTATGGTTCAAGCACTTGGCCTTCTGCGGCAAGAGCTCTTGCGGCACAAGGACGACGAGGAAGAGCAGCCCGTCATTGCAGACTGAGAGCTTGGTTTTTCAAATTACTTGACATGTATATACACACACACACACATACGTACATACATGGGCATACACACAAAAACTGTATAATCAAATGCATAATTATATGATTGTTACATACATTAGATAAACAGATAAATCAAAGTAAATAAACAAATTAACAAATAAGCAGATAATAGCCGTACTTATATACATATATGTATATAAAATACATGTATATATGTACACATACACATACACATCTG